TTTTTATTTTACTGTGAACACAGTAATATAATTGTGGATTTTTCCTGAGAAAATCTTTCATTTATCTGGACTAACAGAAGGTTCAGAACTGATTATAAACAGAAATGTTAATTAATCATCATAAATGTTCTGTAGTGATTTCTCTTACAGTCTATCAGAAGAAAGCTGAAAAGAGGTTATCATCTCTTGTGAACAACCATGGAATTTTAACCTTGAGCTGGCGCCGCTGGCAAATCTTTTATCTTTCTTTCCCTGACTCATCTCTAAGCCTGAGGGCGGAACCAAAGATTGTCCATTTCTTTTACTAACCCAGATGGCTTTGAGTGACAGACTCTTACTCCTGACTTCAACCGAGGAAGACAAAGCTGAGTTTCTCTCCGGAGGACTCAGTTTGGCTTTTAAGTCTGATCCCATGAGCCAACTAGGGAAGACTTAACAGCACCGCACGCTGCCAGCGGTCCCACCCCGAGGCTTCAAGCCTCTAAAGTGTGTTTTCACCTCCCGTGGGGAGATTTTATTTTGAAAACCAGGGACCGGATGACAGCTGGAATCTTTCTGGCTTGGACTGAAACAGACGAACAGTTACCTGAAAAACACCTACTCGCCAAGGACCAGTAAGCGAGCCAATAAAAAGTTCCCTGACTGATAGGAGGTAAGACAGTTCCTACCCAGGGGTGACTCAAGAAGCCACCACCAGGTAAAGCTGACGTGTTCGGGGTGACGTGTCTTGTGGAAACTAAGCGCAGAAGGGACCTGCTGATCCGGTTGACCACACTTTGATAAAGTAAAAGTAGTAGTAACCTACTAACCTTACATTCCTCCTTTTCCTTGTTCTTAATTTGCCAAAACTTAAGCTGAAAGTGCCAGTAAAATTGTTTGGTTGTTAACATCAGAGCTGACGTTTTGCTGTTCTATATAAGTAATCTGAGTTGATGTGAATTGAAATTCGGATGCGGATTTGATCTCATTTAACTTTGACACTTTTTATAGGAATAACCACAATTAAGTGTACTTATGATTTGTTCAATTTGTGTAAATAAATGATTGCATAGTCTTTTATGAATCAACTTGAACTCGTCTGAACATTCACTTATTGTGTCACTTTTCACTTCGCACAATCAAGATATTAAAAGTAATGAGAAATACCTTGGTAAAACTTTCCTCATAACCTTGTGTRTGAGAGATGTAGGAGAAGCTTAACGCCACCTTAAGCTCCCCTCCTACATAATCCTCTCATGAACCAAATCAGAAAATATTCCATCTTTAAAAGTGTCAAATATAAAATGTTGTCTACTAATGAAGTTCATCTTT